CACACACACACACACACACACACACAAATAGATAGGTCCTGAGTTCAATCCCTAGTACCAAAAATAAATAAAATGGTAAATTTTAATATACTGTTCAACAATGACATTAATAAATCAAATGTATATCAAAAGTTAAAATGATTTTAGTTTATAACAATGTACCAAGAAACTGGCTATTTAGCCTGTTTTTTAAAAAATGCTCCACACATGAAACTGTTTCATTGTTATTTTATCCTTTTTTCTCATTAAAATGAATAAAAAATTAAAAGAAAAAATGTCCCACACATTAAAAAAAACTACCTTAGCAGCTGGGCATGCTGGCACACAAAATCCCAGCACTTAATAGGCTAAGGCAGAAGGCCAGCCTGGGATACATAATGAGTTCAAGACCAGCCTGCATCAAAAAAGCAAACAAGAAAACAAAAAAGCTTGACTAGGCCAGGCACCGTGACACACTTTGGGGATATAATAAAGTGCAAAGGCCTTGAGTCCAATTCTTAGCACCATAATCAATTGACCAATCAATTCATCAACTGATTAATTTAGCTAGAGAACTGTGCCTGTAATCCCAGCTACTCCGTAGACTGAGGTGGAAAGATTACAAACTGTTTGGTAGCATACACCTGTAAACCCAGCACTTAGGAGGCTGAGGTAGGACAGCTGTGAGCTTGCGACCACCCTGGGCTATATAATGAGTTCAGGCCAGTCTGAACTACATTGTGAGACCCCATCTTTTTTTTTTTTTTTTTTTTTTTTTTTTTGTGGAACCGGGGATTGAACTCAGGCCCCTGTGCTTGCCAGGCAAGTGCTTATTCCACTGAGCCATCTCCCCGGCCCGAGACCCCCATCTTAAAAAAAAAAAAAAAGACCAGGCACAGTGGTACAGATCTGTAATCGTAGCACTCAAGAGGCTGAGGCAAGAGGATTGCCACAGGTTCAAGGCCAGCCTGAGTTACACAGCAAGACCCTTCTCAAAAAAAAAAAAAAAAAAAAAAAAAAAAGAGGCCAGCCTGGGCAACTTTGCAAAAGTTGTTCTTTAAAAGGGGCTTTGGATATAGCTCTGTGATGGCCCCTTTTCCAAGCAGGCAAGAGACCCTTGCTTCAATCACATATATGAGGAAAAAGAAAAAAAGAACCTATGGATATCAGAGTTGCTTCATTACAGAAGTTTCCTCAGGTAAATTCAAAACTGGCACTAGCCACTAGATGGTTCTGCAATTCAATTCCAAATACATATAGTTGCCAGGCACAGTATTTCACATCTAGAGTCCCAGCCTATGTAGAAGATAAGCTGAAGCTACATCAGAAGATTCCTTTTTTTTTTTTGGCGGAACTGGGGACTGAACTCGGACCCTTGGCTTATTCTACTGAGCCATCTCCCCAGCCCCAGATTACTTTTGCCAGAGATTATGATCAGCCTGGGCAACACAGTGAGATACTGCCTATACATAAGAAAGTAAATAAAAAGCTGAGTGTGGTAGTGCACACCTGTAATCCCAGAACTCAGGAGGCTGGGACAGGAGGATCACTGCAAATATGAGGCCAGCCTGAGCTACACAGTGAGACCCTGACTCAAAAAAATATCAAAAAAACAAGACAAACCAAACCAGCTATGTCTCATGGCACAGGGCTATGAATCCTAGATAGTACTAGGCATGCTGAGCTAGGAGGACTGAATTTTTTCTTTTTTTTAAATGTATTTAGTACAGGGTGTACAGGATCTCACTACACAGATCGGATTCCTAGTGATTCTGTGGTTTTCAGCCAAGTGTTGGGATTACAGGCATGCAACACCTTGCCTTCTCAGCACGCCTCGGGGGTGCAGCTTGCAGGATTGAATCTTGGTCACTGCGTCTATCTAAGCACGCATTTTAATCAACTGAGCTATCTGGCTGGTCCGGAGGACTAAAATTTTGAGGCCAGCCAGCCTCAGCAATTAAGATCCTACCACAACTGAAAAATTGGCGCTGGAGACATAGCTCAGCAGTAGAGTGTTCACCTAACATATGCTAGGTCATGGGCTCAATCCCCAGCATCAGAAATAAAGCAATAAGTGAATACACTTAGCTAACGTAAGTGAAAAAATTTGAAAAAGACACAAGTTCTAGATATCGGTGAGTAAACTATACTCTGTCGTTCAAAACCTACAAATACATTCCCTGTGAAGCTGTTGCCCTAGTAGGGACTTTTGAATTTCTGAAATCACTGACTTGGGGCTGTTGGGTATACAAAATAACAAGTACTAGCATCTGATTTATTTATTTATTATTATTATTTTTTTTTTTTGCAGAACCAGTCATTGAACTCAGGCCCTTGAGCTTGCCAGGGAAGCACTTATTCTACTGAGCCATCTCCCCAGCCCCAACATCTGATTTATTAGTAGAAGAGAAAGGGAGGTCAGAAAATTCCAACGTAATGTAGCATGTAGGCTACTCACCCTACGAGAAAAGCACTTCAAGGTTAGCCTCCAAGACAGTTCCCTGGGCACTGCTGCCTCTGGTTTTCCTGGCTTTTATAGTCCTCTCCAAGAATGAAGAGGGTAGGGGCTAGAGAGATAGCTCTGTAGAATAAACGC